AACCCATCAGATGTTGTCTCAGTTAAAGACAAAGATAAGAATGATTCCACTAATTCTTCAACAAGTACTGGATGTATTTATGAAGAAATAGGATCAAAACGCAACAACCACATCAAGAAAAGCAAAATGTCTTTGGAGTCCAGTGGGAAAGTCAGTTTTGCTAGCAGTGATGATTCTCAGCCCGTATATGCTCAAGTAGATTTGGATGAAAAACGACGTTCCCGCCTCATTAAATCCCTCTGTGATCGTTTTGAGCCAGTAGATCCTCCAGCTTGGGAGAACACATACCGAGCTGAGGAAGCACCCACATTTGATGAAGTGGATTTGGAACCCATAAAATTGCGCGAACTGCCTCCTATTCCTGATGATAGTGGTAGTGACATCACTTATGCTTCATTGTGCATACCTCTAGAACCTCCAACAATAATGAGAAACAATGACATTTACGAAGGATCTAATCTGCCTTCTGGCACTCTTATGAAAGACAATGAATTGTATTTATCAAAGACATCTATAAAAACGTGATTCTTCAATTCATTGAGAACTTTTCTTGTATAGTACTTTTGAAAAAGTGAACTGTAATTAGTTTATTGTATAAAGACTTTTATAATGGTTCAAAAAGTTCTCTTTTCATTTCTTATATAAACTTCATTTGCAGTTTAAGAAATTGTTTACTTTCTGTACTACCATTTCATTCCTTATATTAAAAAAAAAACCCGAAAGGTTTGAGATTTTTAACGGTTGCCCAAAGAGGTTTATTAAGATTTTTACTCTCTTCCTGAGTCTACCAATCTGCTCTTGCACTCACTTCTGCTAATGTTTTTCTTTTCTTAGCTGTTTTCTTTGCAAAATTAGGAAAAATTAAACATTGTACATTATTACCCATTTGTTTTTAAGCAAACCAGTATAAAGGATGCTAGTCTTAATAACTGAAATTGCTTAACTAGACAAGGCTCTTATAATTAGTGGTGGTTATATAATTTATATGTACAACAATGTAATGGTGAAAAAATCTGAAAGCTTTCAAATTTTAATGGTTGTCCAAAAGAAATTTTTAAGGTATTTTATGCTCTCATGAGGTCACAATCGATTAGTCTGCTTTTGCACCCACTCTTGCTAAATTTTTTTCTGTTTTGTTGTTGTTTTAGCTTTATTATTAAGCATCATTTTCTTCACACTTAATGCCATATACAGTTGAACAACAAAATCATAAAACTTTTCAAAGCTGCATATGTTTAGCATTCCCGATGCAGCATTAAGTATTGGCATACATTTTTATATTTATTTCAGTTCATCATATCAATATTCAGTTTTTCAGTAAGATTGCTAACAAAATTTTTTGTGTTTATTATTAAGTTTTTATGTATTACCATTATTTATTAAATATCAGGTTCTTTGCACTTATGCCACATGAAATTCAGTTCAGCTGCAAAATGACCAAATATTTCAAAACGACATAGCTTTAAAATTACTGACAAAATGTTAGCGGTTGCCATACATATTTTTATATTTGCTATTTCTTTAAAAATTAGCCTCCATGCAACCACTCACTTAAAATAGTGTAAAAAAGAAAAATTATATAATTTTTAATGAGTCCAGCCTGTGTAATTTCATAAAAATATTGGATATTTCTATTAGACATCTCATTTTAATGCATGTTTATTTAAATCGCATTAAAAAGTAGGAAAAAAAACATATTTTTAGAACTGTGTTTATTGCTCAGCCTTCCAGATTAAATTTGAAAGTAACTTAGGATTTAATTAAATGTAACACACGAGTGTGTGGAAGATTAAAGTATTTTATTTCTGGAGATAGCGACATATTGCTTTCACAGAATGGCGTAAATAAAAAAAAAATCATTAAAGATTTACAAAATATGAAATAAAAGTAATAAAAGAAATTCGAAATTTTAGGCTTCCAGGTGCACATGCTCGAGTGGATGTTATTCAAAATTTGATGGTACCATCATTTTTCACAATGATAGGAACATACATACATGCAGACTGTTCATTATTTAATTTCTTAAAAAATAATACAAGGCAATAATATTTGGTGCCAACAATATGAAAAGTGATATGCCATTTATAGTGAACCGACACAAAATCCCATTTTGAGACTAATACCCTCTATTCTGCCTTTAAAAAAAAGGGGGGGGGTCCCAGTTATCAATTCCTTTTATTTTTGACAGAGGAATACTTTTACTGTAGAGGAAAAATTTTGATGCTCAAATAATAAGTTTGTAACACAGTAAGCACACTCATAAACCTCCCAGCATATTATATATGATATGCTTGTTTCCTTGTAGGCTCGCTGCATCCAATGTAATATGTGAACAAAAGATCACTAGTAGCCCACAATATCATATTTGATATGCTAAACCAGAAACTTTTATTTTAAATGTGCATAAATTATGTCAGAATGCTGCAAAATGTTACTGAATGAAATATTTGTAGTGTTAGCCTTGTTATATTTATTTATTATTTTATTTTACAAACGTAAAAACACACATGCATTCAGAATTTAGAAATGTTTCACACAGTGTAAGCAGCTTAAAATTTTCTATGCAAACATGGCAATAGGATATAATATACAACACTATTTAAATTGTTTTTTTACTTTGTAATTTTAAGAAAATAATATACAAATGTAAATATAATTATTATTACCAATACAGCACATTAATTTATTCTGGATTTTTATTTTAATTTTAAATATTAGAATTTTCTGTTCCTATTATAAGAAATAGTATTTTAATATCATTTGCTTGATTCCAAATATTTTGATAAAAAGCAGATTTTATAAGAATTATTTTTGTATGTTATGCTTAATTGCAAAATGCTGTCAAGCACAGAATGGCATTCAGCACTTCTATGTCAAAAATTAGGAGGAAACTAATTTTTTTCATGTCATTGGGAACACTGCAGCAGCCGAGAACAACCAGGATGGAAGCAACAGAGATAATGCAACATATCCAAGATAACATCCCCATTTAGAATAATCCTGTTTTAATTTAGCTTTATTTTGATTGGTTAATATTAAATTTTGTTTTCCAAATTTGAAATCATTATTAGATGATACATTACATAAGTATTTGTGTTAGTATCCCTCTGCAAATATCATATAACAGCTATTAATTTTGAAATGACATAGTTCAGAAAAATTTGTTGGAAGCTGTTACTGTTTTTTGGATGGGAAGTAGAAATAACCAAATTAAAAGAGAGAGTTAAGGAATTATTGCTAATTAAAGATAGAATTTTAATTTACACATTTTTACCTTACATGCATATATATATATACATATATAAATTATATATATGGCACCAAATATTAATGCATATATATATAAATTATTGTAAATTAAAATTATATATATTACATGCATATATATAATTTGAATTTACAATAATTTTATCTCGCATACATAATTTATATTACATGCTTAAATAATTTTATTAACATAATAAATAACTATTATTGTACTTGTTATTACGATTACATTACCATTGTAATTAATCATAATAGTATTAGGTGGCCCAAGATAAACTACACCTAAAGCAAGTGAAGTCCCAATGTTCAGTTTGGTAATTATACTATAATAAAAGATTATTACAATGAAAATACCTCCCACCAAACAATGAAGTTCTGTGATTTTTAGAAATCTTATTTTAAAATTAAATGATGAAATGTGTGTACTATTTATATAAAATTACTATAAATTATGAAAATTTTGTTTCTTGATTAATGGCCTATCAATCAACATTCTTATCTGCAAAATTAGACAGAGATTTGAAAGGTTATCTGACAGCAGGGTCATCAGGAGGACTTAACCCAATATTATTGCAACAGGTGACCTTCCAGGTCATATTTGTAACTAAAGTTGACCTATTCTGTGTTTGCCTTTGGTTATGAGTATGAATCATGTATACCCAACTGACGTTGAATCATTATATGATTTTTGTTGATCCTGCCACGGTGCAACACTCAGGAGAGAGAATCTCTATGGTGTCATCTTATATAAATAATTGTATAGTTTTGTGTTTGGTTTACTTGGTTACGGCAAAGCACACAAAGGCTATCTGTCTAAAAGGAAGGGATGCCTTCATGGAGGTCTTTCTAAAATAATTGGCTCATATCCACATTACAAATGACGAAAAACACAAAAGCACCCTTATAGCCAGCCTGTTCACCAGGATTCAAATCGAAGTTGATCCTACCAGTATTCAGCGGCTTTACTGCTTGGCCCTTGGTGGGCATATAATTGTGCAGAGTATGAGAAAAACAACATTGCAATACTGCTTCATGAACTGAACTGTGATGGTGATCTCTCAACAATGGAGACAAATTTCAGACTATGTTTAAAGTCTTCAGGACAGTGTTTGTGTGAATGAAAAATAGGACTGACTGCCACTGTTGTTTTACATCTCATTATAGGGGCAAAATGAGCATTATGAAGCATAATGAGCAACGTCAAATAGGACTGCTTCAGCTGATCAATGCCAAATATAATTGTTTGACCTGTTTTTTAATGTGTTTCAAACACAATGATGGCCATCGATAGATATCATAGGGACTAAGTTAGTGTATTCTTTATTAATATTATATAATTTAATAATAACATGGTAATGTAATAAAAGTAACTACACTTTCTTTGTATTTATTGACTTGTATTTATTATTTATATTTACTGATTCATGCACTGCTGCTTTTCATGTAATTTAGGAAAGTAAGCTTATGAATTTTGTTTAGCCTATCATGGTGCATTAGCTTATCATCACAGGCAGTAGGTCACCTGTTGTGAGAATACCCTACCCCCAAGAGTAAGAAGAGCTTGATTTGTTAAACACCACCATTCCTAGATGACTCTAAGTAAGTGACTTAAGATGATTTAAGATAAGTGTTCTGACAGAATATCAACAAGGTTGTTTGTTTTGCTTGTTGAACTACATACATACTGTTCAGGATGGCAAAACTTACTTGAAAAATAGCAAACTAACATAAAAAACATTTATAATACATTTTATTATTCAATGCAATTTTTCTATGAACATATTGCTGACAATGAACAAGGAGCGCAAAGGGCTAGTTGTTAAAAATTTGGAAAAGGACAATTAGAAAAAATTTGCACAAAAAATAAAACAAATCTGCAGTCAGTTCTTTTTCTCCTTCCCCTTTTACATAGAAGCTGAAATTAGCTTCAAGATCTTTCCAAGGCAGATGAGAAGAATGGAGTTGAGAGAGAAAGCCGCTTGTTGTTGGAGGGCTTCAAGGGCTCCACGCAGTTTTCAGCTTCAGGAAACCTCTCCAGATATCTTTCATAGCGAAGATACTTGACAGTCACTAATTTTCCTTCAAATACAGAAAAAGCAAAAATTTCATTATCATTTAACCAAATAAATAAATGAAGAATTTCAAAATGTAAAAGAAAATTGATCTAATATAAAAACATTTAATGCAGCAAATGTTCTAACTGTTTATGAAGAATGGAAATCAATAATGATTGCACATGAAAATTTAGAAAAAAAAAATTATACACACATTTATGTTACTAATGAGTGAATTGTATGCACATGATCTATTTATTAATGCTATCATATTTCTCATAATTACCGCCATTTTCAAAGTGAAACACAAAAATCAAAACAGTCACTTTACAACAAATGCATTGATTTCGAATGATTTTTTTTTTTTTTTTAAATCACTTTTTTCCCAGACAACAGGTATTTATTTTCAGGTACATACATTAAATTACAATTTTTAAATTACATTTTCATTTTTCATACACTTACTTACTTACCAGCAGCTGAGTTGCTGTCACCATTTGTATTCAATTGGTAGAGCATTGTATTATCACTAAGCCCAGCCAAAAATGTGTATAGAATATTAAAATTTAATTAAAAATTAAATAAATTTGTAACTGAATTTATAAAGTTACTTCAGAAGATAGGTATTTGTGACCTGTGGATATTAAGGAGACTCTGCCAAGACTTTGACTATGCTGATTTTTTTTTTTTTTTTTTTTTTTTTTTTTTTTTTTTTTTAAGATTGTTTTTATATTTTCGCAGTTCATTGCCAAGTAGTCTATAAAAGTTTTTAAGTTTGCTTCGTAGTAGCTTACTCTTTTGAAGTTGTTTCAGCTATACCTGTGCATTTTCAGCTGTGTACGTCCGGAAATAAAGGTCTTTTGTTGATTTCACACTCGAACAAATAGTGATCAATCGTACCTGTTGAGCTGCATATGCATGAGTCTGTGTGGTGCAATCCAAAGCAAAACAGATAGGCTGCAGAAGGGCCATGCACTGTCAGGAAATATGTCATTGCTCTGCCTGTACTGATTTTAATTTCCTTGACCAGTTAGTTTCTCACAGGGACATAAGGTCTTCTTCTAATCTTGATTTAAGATGTGATAATGGAATTGGCAGAGAGATGGCTGGGCAAGTTGTCCATTTGCACTATCTCTTGCTAGTTGGTCGACTGCTTCATTGCCCAGTGTGCCCACATGGAGGCATGTCCAGTGAAGCTTGGGTCATGTTTTCTCTTGGAAATAGTATAGTAAGTGTAGGATTTCTCTTACTAGTAGCGAGCGGCTCAATCTACCTTATATGGCACAGCTATGGGAATACAGATTTCATTCGCAACTCTGATTAACTAAAGGGGGGGAAAACTGCTTGCATAATGATGCCTTAGCATAATATGCATTTTTTTTTTTTTTTTTGGCATAGTTTAAAATATCAAATAACAGAACAAGTACATACACGAAAAGACTGCAAAAAATGCAATTCATGCTTTCAGGATAATGCACACAGGATTACTTGATAATGGTAACCCATTATAAAGGTTCTGGTACTTTTACATAAGCCCAAAACCTTCATAAAGGTTTATCGCATTGTAGAGACATTAGGTTATTCAGATATGGGAGACATGAAAAATTAGCAATGCCCTCACTGGGACTCAAACCATGGACCTCTCAAATATGCGCCGAGCGTGCTTACCACTACATTATGAAGGCATGTTAAGAAGGCGGGAGAAATACCATATAGCAGGGGTTCCCAACCTTAAGCCAGCAGGTACCATGGTGCCCACCAATCGTTTAATGTGTCCCCCCGCTGTGCGATTACAATAAAAATATTTTAATTTTCAATACAATTCTATGTGAAAGTTTTCTCATCTTTAATGAAATAGAAATTGTGTCCAACACAGATACCAGCACAAAGCGAAATGCGACCAAACTCTTTTTTATGTGTATTTATTATTAACTCTATCCAACTATAAATTCACCTTGAAAAAGTAAATGGTGCCCGCCATCCAACAGATATTCTAGAATGTGCTCTTAGGGACAAAAAGGTTAAGGACCCCTACCTTATAGCATAAAGGTGCTAATACATTTAAGAAGACTGCTTTTCAAGTTTGAAGACAAAATCTAAAGATGCTTGCATTTTTACATTGGAACACCACTATGAAGGTTTTGCCTTGATGCCATCTAATCTGCATAAAGATTGCTATACCACCTTCCTGCAGCTATACCAGTACAGAGCAAACCAAAATATACATTTTGGTTTTGAGATTTTAGAAATTATTTTGGTTTTGAGATTTTAGAAATTATTAAAGGTTTTAAAGAGAAGATCTCAAGACTACTGTTGATTAGCTATCTTGTGGACTTATTGCAGCCATTACTGTGAAATTATACCAAATGAAAATTGTGACAGTGAACTGATTTTTAATGGTATATCTGCAAAATTAATGAGAGCAGACATTTATTGAACCTAAATTCTTCACATAAACACACACACAAACACAAATAAATAAATAAATAAAAATAAAAATTTGGAATTAGTCTATGTTTGCACAGTACACAAATTATTATTATCTACAACTCCATATTACTAGTTTTTTTAATGGAATGTTAAACACAATGTTCATTAATGGTGGCTAGAGGTTTATGACTTTCGTAAAACATCAAATGGAACAAAGGCTAAGCCAGATGAACTGGATTGACAGATTGTCTAGAACTTTCAGCCTATCTCTATTTATTATTTTCCAAGAGACAATAAATTCTGGCCATACATAATAAACACATAAAATTTTTCAATATCTACATAGTTCTGTGCAATGAAATAAGGGTACAAGACAAAACATCTAAATTTTTTATTTCCTGTCAGATAAATCTGTAAAGTCTTGATAATCTTAAGCACTAAAAAAATATTTTTTTAATCCTTTTTCTATAAATCTCAAATATGTTAGCCCCCTCTTAAAAAAAAGCAGGACATTCCAGGGTGACTTAATCACAATGAAAGAAACCTGGTACAATAGCCCACACCCAGAGAAGAATAAAATTTGAAACAGACAACAAAAACAGGAGTTGAGACAGAATGATATTGACAGAGAACACAATTCACAGCAGCCTTAAGGTTGAATCCCGGGGAAGACATGAATGTTTCTAATTTAACCTTTAACTGCTGTGAGCAGTCTGAGAGACCGCTGAGGATTTTCTAACCGTCATTTCCACCCCTAAAACCGGAAATGGTCCCTGTCCTTCCTAACACCTTCCCAAACCAGTCCCACAAGGTCACATATCCAGTTTCACACTTCTAGCTTTATTATGGCTTCAGTTACCATGTTTTTTACTTTTAAGGTATCTGGGAGACCTCTCACAGCAGATGCGTACCAGTTTTAGTGAACAATAGACGTTATTGACCGGATGCTTGTTTTTAGTAAAAGTGATAAATATGGCTTCAAATTCTACAAAAAAACATCCTGTATATCTCACTCAAAAAGAAATTGAATATCTTGTCAACAATATTTTTTATGTAGAATACTCTGATTCTGAAGAATCAACTAGTATTTACAACAAAAGCAAAAGTGAATCTGAGCCTTCTGCAGACGAATATCATTTTTCTAATGACTGTGAACAACATGAAAATTTTTATGGAAAAAAGCACTCCAAATGGAGCAAAAAAAGTACAAACACCAAAGCATAAGATAATAATTCAGCTCCCTGGTCAACATCCTGCAAAAATAGGCTCTAGAGCAGAGCCCGTAGATATTTGGAATTTATGTTCATACATATTGTTCCAGTCATATCTTGATGCAACAAAACTGGAAAGAAAAAAAAAATTATGCTTAAATTAGCTAATCAACTTATTAAACTGCATCTGAAAGTTGGGATAACTTCCACTTTTTTGCCAAGGGAACTGAAGATAACAATTAGAAGAATCCTTAGACAGAAGGAAATTAAGAGGATGGAATTATCAAATCAAGAAGAAAAATTAGAAGAAAGAAAAACAGCATACAAATGGATGGAATGGAAGGAACCCATGTGTCTTCAGTGCTCTTAAAAAATGCGCTTTGATTGCGTATCATCTTACACTTCATCCTTGTAAACAAAGATATACTAATCTATTATTTATTAATTATGGTAGAATTATGGTTTAATTGACAGTAATACTTAATAAAGTCACATATTTTCATGGATGCTTAATAAAATCTTTGTTCCTTAAAACAAAGAAAAAAGTCATTTTTTGTATGAATTTAACTGCATAAAATTAAATGATTTATGTTTAAAATATCGTGATTTAAATGAATTAGAATTCTATAACATTCCTTAAAAAGGCATAAAAGTATGTACTTTTACTTGTTTCTTTAACTTTTTCGCGACGGCACACCTTTGTTTATAACGCTCGTGCGAGACGGAAGGAAATCGATGGCAATCATCGCACAGGACGGAGGTTTTGCATCACTAAGCCTAATTTTATTTAAAAAATTGGAAAAAAAAAAAAAAAAAAATTTCACTTTTAGCCTCGTAATTTTTGGTATCATTTTAGACTATTACTTGAGCTCTTATATATGTTAAAATTAGCAACTTAATAACGTTTTTTTCTTTATTTTACATGAAAATATACTTAAAAATTTCCTTATCTTGTAAAATAATTCTCGGAAGCGCTATTCAAATTATTCCAAAGTTACAATTGATAAAATCCATCAATAAAGTTTTAAATTAATAAAACAACACAATAAAGACTATTTACAGTAAGAAGAAACAAAATTTAAAATGAAGACTGAGTGTGGTAAATATCGAAGCACGGAGAAGTATCACTTTCTGTTAGAAAAAGCATCACTTTCTAACTCTAAAAAATGAATCATCACTCTCATCTGCATTAAATGGTTCATTCACCATACGAGGGTATTCTTCCTCTGATAAATAGCACCTTCCCGCCATAATAGACTGGAGGGGAGGCTTTCCGAAATAAAAAGAGAAGAAACGGAAATATATCTGAAGGCAATGCAAAATGTAATAGTACTCCATGTATTAACCCTAACATAGTAGACGAAAAAAATAGAATAAAAAAAGG